AGATCTCTCAGCAGAAACCCTACAAGCCAGAAGAGACTGGGGGCCAATATTCAACATCCTTAAAGAAAAGAACTTTCAACCCAGAATCTCCTATCCAGCCAAACTCAGCTTCATAAGTGAAGGAAAAATAAAATCCTTTGTGAACAAGCAAGCACTCAGAGATTTCATCACCACCAAACCTGCTCTACAAGAACTCCTGAAAGAGGCTCTACACATATAAAGGAACAACCAGTACCAGCCACTCCAAAAACACACCAAATGGTAAAAGAGCATCAACACAATCAAGAATCTGCATCAACTAACCAACAAAACAGCCAGGTAGCATCAAAATGACAGCATCAAATTCACACATAACAATACTATCCCTAAATGTCAATGGACTAAATGCCCCAATCAAAAGACACAGACTGGCAAATTGGATAAAAAGCCAAAACCCATCAGTGTGCTGTATCCAGGAAACCCATCTTACATGCAAGGATACACAAAGGCTCAAAATAAAGGGATGGAGGAAGATCTACCAAGCAAATGGAGAGCAAAAAAAGGCAGGAGTTGCAATTCTCATCTCTGATAAAATAGACTTTAAAGCAACAAAGATCAAAAGAGACAAAGAAGGACATTACATAATGGTAAAAGGATCACTGCAACAAGAAGAGCTAACGATCCTAAATATATATGCACCCAATACAGGAGCACCCAGATACATAAGGCAAGTTCTTAATGACTTACAAAGAGACTTAGACTCCCACACAATAATAGTGGGAGACTTTAACACCCCATTGTCAATATTAGACAGATCAACCAGACAGAAAATTAACAAGGATATCCAGGACCTGAACACAGACCTGGAACGAGCAAACCTAATAGACATTTACAGAACTCTCCACCCCAAATCCACAGAATATACATTCTTCTCAGCACCACATCACACCTACTCTAAAATTGACCACATAATTGGCAATAAATCACTCCTCAGCAAATGCAAAAGAACAGAAATCATAACAAACAGTCTCTCAGACCACAGTGCAATCGAGTTAGAACTCAGAATGCAGAAACTAACTCAGAACCGCACAGCTTCATGGAAACTGAACAACTTGCTCTTGAATGTTGACTGGATAAACAATGAAATGAAGGCAGAAATAAAGATGTTCTTCGAAACCAATGAGAACGAAGACACAACATACCAGAATCTCTGGGACACATTTAAAGCAGTCTCTAGAGGAAAATATATAGCAATGAGTGCCCACATGAGAAGAAAGGAGAGATCGAAAATTGACACCCTATCATCAAAATTGAAAGAGCTAGAGGAGCAAGATCAAAAAAACTCAAAACCTAGCAGAAGACAGGAAATAACTAAGATCAGAGCAGAACTGAAGGAAATAGAGACACAAAAAACTCTTCAAAAAATCAATAAATCCAGGAGCTGGTTTTTTGAAAAGATCAACAAAATAGACAGACCACTAGCCAGATTAATAAAAAAGAAAAGAGAGAATAACCAAATTGATGCAATAAAAAACGATAAAGGGGATATCACCACAGATTCCACAGAAATCCAAACCATAATCAGAGATTATTACAAACAACTCTATGCACATAAACTAGTAAACCTGGAAGAAATGGATAAATTCCTGGACGCCTGCAACCTCCCAAGCCTAAACCTGGAAGAAGCCGAAACACTGAATAGACCAATAACATGGTCTGAAGTCGAGGCAGCAATAAAGAGCCTACCACCCAAAAAAAGCCCAGGTCCAGATGGGTTCACAGCTGAATTCTACCAGACATACAAGGAGGAGCTGATACCATTCCTTCTGAAACTATTCCAGACAATCCAAAAAGAGGGAATCCTTCCCAAATCATTTTACGAGACAAACATCATCCTGATACCAAAACCCGGCAGAGACTCAACAAGAAAAGAAAATTTCAGGCCAATATCCATGATGAACATAGATGCAAAAATCTTCAATAAAATACTGGCAAACCGATTGCAACAGCATATCAAAAAGCTCATCCACCATGATCAAGTAGGATTCATCCCGGGGATGCAAGGCTGGTTCAACATACGCAAGTCCATAAACGTAATTCACCACATAAACAGAACCAAAGACAAAAACCACATGATTATCTCGATTGATGCAGAGAAGGCTTTTGACAAAATTCAACAACCCTTTATGCTAAAAACCCTCAATAAACTAGGTATTGACGGAACGTATCTCAAAACAATAAAAGCTATTTACGACAAACCAACAGCCAATATCATACTGAATGGGCAAAAACTGGAAGCATTCCCTTTGAAATCTGGCACTAGACAAGGATGCCCTCTCTCACCACTCCTATTCAATATAGTACTGGAAGTTCTAGCCAGAGCAATCAGACAAGAAAAAGAAATAAAGGGTATCCAAATTGGAAAGGAGGAAATCAAATTGTCTCTATTTGCAGATGACATGATTGTATATCTGGAAGACCCCATCATCTCAGCCCAAAATCTCCTGAAACTGATAAACAACTTCAGCAAAGTCTCAGGATACAAAATCAACGTGCAAAAATCACAAGCATTCCTATACACCAGTAATAGACTTCAAGAGAGCCAAATCAAGAACGAACTGCCATTCACAATTGCTACAAAGAGAATAAAGTACCTAGGAATACAACTAACAAGGAACGTAAAGGACCTCTTCAAGGAGAACTACAAGCCATTGCTCAACGAAATAAGAGAGGATACAAACAGATGGAGAAACATTCCATGTTCATGGTTAGGAAGAATCAACATCGTGAAAATGGCCATACTGCCCAAAGTAATTTACAGATTCAACGCTATTCCCATCAAGCTACCAATGACCTTCTTCACAGAACTGGAAAAAAACATCTTAAACTTCATATGGAACCAAAAGAGAGCCCGCATAGCCAAGTCAATTTTAAGCAAAAAGAACAAAGCGGGAGGCATCACACTACCGGACTTCAAACTATACTACAAGGCTACAGTAATCAAAACAGCATGGTACTGGTACCAAAACAGAGATATAGACCAATGGAACAGAACAGAGGCCTCACAGGAAATACAACATACCCACAACCATCTGATCTTCGACAAACCTGACAAAAACAAGCAATGGGGAAAGGACTCCCTGTTTAATAAATGGTGTTGGGAAAACTGGCTAGCCATGTGCAGAAAGCAGAAACAGGACCCCTTCCTGACACCTTACACCAAAATTAACTCCAGATGGATTAAAGACTTAAACATCAGACCTAATACCATAAAAACCTTAGAAGAAAATCTAGGCAAAACCATTCAGGACATAGGTGTAGGCAAGGACTTCATGACCAAAACGCCAAAAGCAATGGCAACAAAAGCCAAAATAGACAAATGGGACCTAATCAAACTCCACAGCTTCTGCACGGCAAAAGAAACAGTCAGTAGAGTGAATCGGCAACCAACAGAATGGGAAAAAATTTTTGCAGTCTACTCATCTGACAAGGGGCTGATATCCAGAATTTACAAAGAACTAAAGCAGATCTACAAGAAAAAAACAAACAAGCCCATTCAAAAATGGGCAAAGGATATGAACAGATACTTTACAAAAGAAGACATACAGGAGGCCAACAAACATATGAAAAAATGCTCATCATCACTGGTCATCAGAGAAATGCAAATCAAAACCACATTGAGATACCATCTCACACCAGTTAGAATGGCGATCATTAAAAAATCGGGAAACAACAGATGCTGGAGAGGATGTGGAGAAATAGGAACACTTTTACACTGTTGGTGGGAATGTAAATTAATTCAACCATTGTGGAAGACAGTGTGGCGATTCCTCAAGGACCTAAAAATAGAAATCCCATTTGACCCAGCAATCCCATTACTGGGTATATATCCAAAGGATTATAAATCATTCTACTACAAGGACACGTGCACACGAATGTTCATTGCAGCACTGTTTACAATAGCAAAGACCTGGAACCAACCCAAATGCCCAACGATGATAGACTGGATAGGGAAAATGTGGTACATATACACCATGGAATATTATGCAGCCATCAAAAACGATGAGTTCACGTCCTTTATAGGGACATGGATGAACCTGGAAACCATCATTCTCAGCAAACTGACACAAGAGCAGAAAATCAAACACCGTATATTCTCGCTCATAGGCGGGTGTTGAACAATGAGAACACATGGACACAGGGAGGGGAGCACTACACACTGGGGTCTGTTGGGGGAAATGGGGGAGGGGCGGGGGGTGGGGAGGTGGGAAGAGATAGCATGGGGAGAAATGACAGATACAGGTGAGGGGACGGAAGGCAGCAAAGCACACTGCCATGTGTGTACCTATGCAACAATCTTGCATGTTCATCACATGTACCCCAAAACCTAAAATGCAATAAAAAAAAAAAAAAAGAAAAAAATAAATGTGTCTTAGGCATTTCGACATTTATATACACTATGTTATGAACAAATGAATAGAAAGTAGCACTTTTTTCACTGCCAGTTTTCTTCTCTTTTTCAAGTAGATGAAGCAAAAGTCAACTGCAATAGTCAGAAGGCTGTACTTTGTTATGCTTAGAAATTTCTACAAGTGCTTAGGATTTCACCTCAAAGTCCAACAAGAAGAAAATACAGGTTCCCCAGTACCCCATTCTAAATAGGAAAAAGGACCATTTTAATTTTAATGACATTTCTGTTCTCTAGACAGTTTAGATAACTAGCTCTTTTTATCTTTAAAAACTGTTTTTCCAGTGATAATTATTCACTTCAAGCATAAGAATACCAAATTACAGTATCGTAGAAATGCAAGACTTTTCTTACGGTTCATAAAATACACTATGAAAGTGAGTCTTGTTGATTATGTACATTTCACTATAATAATTCCAATGCATATTATTTCTATTGAGAGTAAGTTACAGTTTTTGGCAAACTGCCTTTGATGAGGGGATGAGGGCTATCTCCTCTTCCTGTGCGTTTCTAAAACTTGTGATGCAAAACGCTCCCGCCCTTTTCTGGGAACACAGAAAGCCTGACTCAGGCAGCTGCTGCTATTAAAGCAGCTCCAGCCCTGCACACTCCCTGCTGGGTGAGCGCACTGTAAAGATGAAGCTGGCTAACTGGTACTGGCTGAGCTCAGCTGTCCTTGCCACTTACGGTGTTTTGGTTGTGGCAAACAATGAAACAGAGGAAATGAAGGATGAAAGAGCAAGGGACCTTTGCCCAGTGAGACTAGAAGGCAGAGGGAAATGCGATGAGGCAGGGGAGTGCCCCTACCAGGTAAGCCTGCCCCCCTTGACGATTCAGCTCCCGAAGCAATTCAGCAGGATCGAGGAAGTGTTCAAAGAAGTCCAGAACCTCAAGGAAATCGTAAAGAGTCTAAAGAAATCTTGCCAAGACTGCAAGCTGCAAGCTGACGACAACGGAGACCCGAGCAGAAACGGACAGCTGTTACCCAGTACAGGAGCCCCGGGAGAGGTTGGTGATAACAGAGTTAGAGAATTAGAGAGTGAGGTTAACAAGCTGTCCTCTGAGCTAAAGAATGCCAAAGAGGAGATCAATGTACTTCATGATCGCCTGGAGAAGCTGAATCTTGTAAATATGAACAACATAGAAAATTATGTTGACAGCAAAGTGGCAAATCTAACATTTGTCGTCAATAGTTTGGATGGCAAATGTTCAAAGTGTCCCAGCCAAGAACAAATACAGTCACGTCCAGGTACGTACAATAATGTTTTCTTATCATATGTTCATAAATGTTATATAGCTAGAGTATCTATAAACATTAACCTGAGTCACTAGGTTAAACAGATGACAGATTCAGTCTTATTCATCAAGGTATACAGGAAAAAATAACTATCTCCTCAAATGTGACCACAGAAATAATATACGACCTAATTACAAAAATCATAGTTAGTTCTGTATCCATTAGAAGTCACTTTCAATTTTGAGATCTTATTTGCTAATGCCAGACCTACATGCAAGCAGAAGTAGAGAGAACTTGTTTTAGTGCCTTTAACCTGTCTCTTCAATGAGGTGTTTGCAAGCAATAGAGATGAGGCGACATTCACGATTGTGCCTTGTTTGTTGGAAATCAGTTTTTCTTGTGATTGGCTGACTGCCACTTCTCATGCCTAAAGACGTCTTTGAAAGATTTCGGCAAGTAATCTGCAGTTCTTAATCCCAAATATCTAGAGAAAATGGGAGATCTTACAGATGGAATACAAGCAGCTTCATATGTGTGCAAATATGTTTGCTTTGAGACCTAGTGGCATACGAAAAATGTTTTAAGGGGAGAGTTTTGGCACACCGCTAAGGAAAGGAATATATTCTTCTTTCTCTTTGACCTGAAGCTAGAATTCAAGCAGATAAAAGTAGAACCCATCCTCACCATTCAAATTGCTTGAATTAACCTTGATAAACACATGCGAAAGACCACAGACTTAATCACCTACTCTACCCATGAACTAACAGTGGCATTGGCTCCCCCAAACCTTGGCTTTTCATCTGAGGTACTAGGACCACTGTTGCTGACTGTCTCCTTATACTCTGGAAAGCCATCTCTGCATTAGGACCTCTACTTGCCATGAATGTGAGGTTAAAGGGACATGGTGGGGATCATTTTCATTTGGAGACAGTATCTCAGGCACACTCCATCCATAAAACTTCTCTTATGGTTCATAAAATTATGGAAGTGATTCTTGTTAACTATGAACATTTGTCTATAATAATTTCAATGCCTATTACTCCTATAGAGAGTAAGTTATAGTTTTTGGCAAACTGCCTTTGATCTGCCAGCAAAGGAGAAGAGGGTCATAGTTTCAAGGACCACTGTGGCTAATACTCCTGGTAACCTGCATCTTAATGTACCTGACACACTGAGAATCCCAGGTTCACCTCTTAGGTGACATCAGTGGGTACACATTAGATTAGATGCTGCATGGCAACTTGTCGTGATATGAACAAGACTCTGTTATAGTCTGTTTTTCTCCAAAACATTTTGGGGGAAATAACTGAATATTCTGAGCTCTAAATATACAGGAACAGATTTTTATGCCTTAGGTTATCTCATATTAAACTTACCTTATTTGTCATACATTTTAATAAAAATTATCTGGGAGTAAATATCTGTCTTTGATTCATACAAAACCTTGTTAACTGATTACTATGCTTATCCTCAATATAATCACCTGTTGTTTCTTTCTTGAAACCCAAAATGTGAAATAGTGGCTAAATACTTTCCTAGATAATAAATACGGAGTAAGAATATTGGTATATTATTGAAAAACATTTTTCAAGAGCTTCTTCATATAGTTGTCAAGTAAAATAAATATGAATTTATGATCAATGCTCTGCATTAGGATTTTAATACATCATTTGGAATGTATCCCATAAAACCTTCTGACAGTAGAGGCGATCACCCTTTAGGTGAAAGAAAATAGAAGCCTGTACTTCATCTGTACGCATGGAATACAGTTCTAGCAGAGTTGGAATTATTTGATTTTTGCCAGCCAGGTCTGAGTTAGTGTCCTGGCTTTGCCATTTAAAGCTTGTATGAAGTTAGGCAAGCCACTGACCTTTAAGCCTAAATATCCTCACATGCAGACTGGCAGTAATGCCTACATCATAAGGTTGATGTTCAGATTAAGTGTGAAAATGTTATCCAGTCTTTGGCAGCATGCTTAGAATGTATAGGTGGGCTTCACTAAATAATACTACATTGTTAGAACTGTATTTTTATTACTTTCTTATTGTTGTTTTCTGTTGATGCTGTCATTATTATTACCAACCAAGAGTATACCAGAGGTCCTTTCTGCTTCATAACATCAGGTTCTTCTTTTGAGGGCTTTTTTTTCTTTTCCTTTTTTTTTTTTTTTTTTTAAGGCAGAGTCTTCCTCTGTCCCCAGGAGCCAGGCTGGAGTGCAGTGGCACAATCTCGGCTCATTGTAATCTCTGCCTCCTGGGTTCAGGCAATTTTCCTGCCTCAGCCTCCCTAGTAGCTGGGGCTACAGGCGCATGCCACCACGCCCAGCTAATTTTTGTATTTTTTAGGAGAGACAGGGTTTCACCATGTTGGCCAGGATGGACTCTTGACCTCGTGATTCGCCCACCTCGGCCTCTCAAAGCGCTGGAATTACAGGTGTAAGCCACCGCAACTGGCCCTTCTGAGTCCTTCACAAGCATTTGCTAAACAGGTTCAAGTAAGTTTAGTAGAGGAAAGTTTCATTATTGCCATTGATTGAATTATGAAACTGCTTTTGTACATATAAATAATTCTTCAGATGCATAGATTCTATTAACAAGATCCAATGCCTTCCTCTTCTTCCGCCTTCAGTTCAGCATCTAATATATAAAGATTGCTCTGACTACTATGCAATAGGCAAAAGAAGCAGTGAGACCTACAGAGTTACGCCTGATCCCAAAAATCGTAGCTTTGAAGTTTACTGTGACATGGAGACCATGGGGGGAGGCTGGACAGTGCTGCAGACACGTCTCGATGGAAGCACCAACTTCACCAGAACGTGGGACGACTACAAAGTAGGCTTTGGAAACCTCAGAAGGGAATTTTGGCTGGGGAACGATAAAATTCATCTTCTGACCAAGAGTAAGGAAATGATTCTGAGAATAGATCTTGAAGACTTTAATGGTGTCAAACTATATGCCTTGTACGATCAGTTTTACGTGGCTAATGAGTTTCTCAAATACCGTTTACACGTTGGTAACTATAATGGCACAGCCGGAGATGCTTTATGTTTCAGCAAACATTACAACCACAATCTGAAGTTTTTCACCACCCCAGATAAAGACAATGATCGATATCCTTCCGGGAACTGTGGGCTGTATTACAGCTCAGGCTGGTGGTTTGATGCATGTCTTTCTGCAAACTTAAATGGCAAGTATTATCATCAAAAATACAGAGGTGTCCGTAATGGGATTTTCTGGGGCACCTGGCCTGGTGTAAGTGAGGCACAACCTGGTGGCTACAAGTCCTCCTTCAAAGAGGCTAAAATGATGATCAGACCCAAGCACTTTAAACCATAAATCATTCTGTTCATTCCTTCAGGTATTTGTATCTAATAGGGCAACTAATTCCTTCAGCACTTTAGAATATGCCTTGTTTCATATTTTTCATAGCTAAAAAATGATGTGTGACTGCTAGGTTCTTATGCCACACAGAATTTGAAATAAAGCTGAAAAATAATACATTTTAAAGGAACCCTTTGCTGTTATGCTGTTATCCAATGAACACTTGCAAGCAACTAGGATTACTGAGATTACACATAACATTTATACTTCTTTTAATTTCTATTAATTGAAAAGTTTTCTATTGCTTATTGCTTGTATTACTTGCTATATTTAGAAAATAATTGTTGGTTGGGCGCAGTAGCTTATGCCTGTAATCCCAGCATTTTGGAAGGCCAAGGCAGGCAGATCACTTGAGGTTAGGAGTTTGAGACCAGCCTGGTCAACATGATGAAATGCTCTATTAAAAATACAAAAATTAGCCAGGCATGGTGGTACATGCCTGTAATCCCAGCTACTCGAGAGACTGAAGCAGGAGAATCGCTTGAACCCAGGAGGCAGAGATTGCAGTGAGCTTAGACCACGCCACTGCACTCCAGGGTGGTCAACAGAGCACAACTCTGTCTCAAACAAAATGATAATAATAATAGGCTTATTCCGTAGGCTAGGTTCTATACAAAGTAATCTGTATTTGGGCCATGACTTGAACACATCTGAAGGTATACCACTCTTTGCAGGCTATAATTATTTGGGTAATCTTCATTCTGAGATAAACTTACTCAATTTATAGCATTTACTTTGCAGCAGAAAGACCCTATAGCATTTTAGTTCCCAGACTAAGGGAACTAATATATGTAATTAAACTTGTTCATCTATCATTCATGAAATGTAAAGTATTTGTCATTCAAACCGTCTTAAAATGTGGTAGCATAATGTCACTCCAAAAAGCTTTCAGATAGCGATGTGACTGTAAAGACCAGAGTTTAAAGGTAATTCATTTACAGTTTATAACTCCCTAGATGTTTGATGTTGAAAACTGCTTTAACATGAAAGTTATCTTCCTCTGCTCTGTGTGAACAATAGCTTTTAATTTAAGATTGCTCACTACTGTACTAGACTACTGGTAGGTTTTCTTTTCAGGGAGCAGGGGCACATAGGGAAAGAAGCATTTACTTATAAGGCTATAATACTTTGAGGCCAATTTTATATTCAAAGTGATAATGTCATTAAGTGATTCATTTCATAGAAGGCTAAGTTTTTCTAGGACAAATAGAAAATGTGAATTTTGAAATATATAGAGCAGTAGTCCAAATACTATGTATTTCAACCTTAACTTGTGGATTGCTTATTTTACTATCAGAAATTAAAAGATAGATTTTTTTTTTACCCAAGCAAAAGTATCTGTAATTATTATGATTCATTCACTAATTCTGGAATGCTATATATAGTATTTTAAAAACTTTGAAAATGTGTTAAATTCATCATTACAGAAAGGGATCATTTCAGAGAGAACAGCAATATTCTGCCTATTTAAACAAAGGCTCTAGAGTAACATTTGAAGTAATTCACTGTAGTGTATGCTAGTTCTAGCAATTAATTTTTTAGTTTCTGGTGTCCATTTCTAATACACTAACCAAGTTTTCAAAATATACTACAAAGATTGATCTATTATTTGAAAAATGATGAAGGTGGATACTTGCTTCAGGTAACAAGGTAGTTTTCAAATATTAGGCCCTTACAGAAATATTTAGTCAAAAAGAAGCAAGATATTCCTTTAAAATAACTTTATGGGTTTATAACTTTAACCCAAAGTTTTCAGTTAAACATGATGAAAATTATCAAAAATATTATTAAAATCTTAAAGCAAGAGAAATGCAAATAGCATTAAATGATGACCAAAATGTAAAATACTGTATATTTCAAAAGCTGTGTATCTATTAGATGGTATACCAAATGTAAATGACGTAACTGATTTTATTTTTTTACTTCTGCTTTTTAAAAAAACTGAAAACATTTTGACATCATACAATGTATTTGTTTCAGATAAGGTCATTTTCATTTAGTATAATTAATATATGTATAAGTTTAAGTAAATTCCTGTGAGTAAAAATGGACTTATCATAAAATACAGTTCTAAAGAAAGGTATATGCTCATATACAGAGTATCCATTGATTTGATGGGAACTAGGTATAACTTCAGAAGTATTTGGCAAATAATTCACTAATCCATGTAAATATTCAAAAACTTGTTTGATCTTCCACTTTATTTCAAGGGATCATTTTTCATTACACTTTTGTAGCACTTTTCTAGTCAATTCTATAACACAGAGATTCCTTATTGGAATCATTTTATGTTACCAATAATAAAATATATTCTAGGCTTTTATAACATTTAACATGTTGATGGAAATAGATTATATCTGCTAGAGTCTTTTGCCTTAACTATTCACTAATTATGCTAATGTTCATAAATATGGATTGACTATTTACAAACATATTAGAATCTTGTCTTGGTTCCATTTTGACAGCTAATATTTGTTATCCTAATTAAGACTTTATTTCTAATGTTATCATTCTTTGAAAATATTGACTAAAACTGGGTCCTCAGAAATTCCAGGTAGAGCTGATTTACCTGTGACTGAGGGGAAAAATAATCAAATTTTACTGATAATAGTAATGCTCCAAAATGAATGGACACATCTGTTCAATAAATAAAGAGCTTAAATATACAAAACATAAGAAATATGTGAGCAACAAAATTTGCTGGTCTTCACTTTTGAATAGCTATTCAAGAAAAGATTTTAAAGGTAATGTTATACATAATGTCATCACAGTAAGCTCGTGTTTAAAATTTCCTTTTATGTATAATTAGGTTTATGTTTCATGTCTTTTAAAAACCTTATAAAAGATTTAATTTTCACATCTATTCTTCAACATGGAAACATTAAATATTGTTGGTTGTAAAGTAGTATTTGTGTACTTACCTGTGTCTGAAAAGTTATGTCATGCTTACCTAATCTATACAATATCTGTGACTCTGAAGACTTTAGTGAGTACTATTTCCTCAACAAGAAGTCAGGCAAATAGAGGAACACTGTTATCTTACTTCCCTCTAGAAAACTGTTGAAACATTTGAAATACAAAAGTTTTGGTTTCATTTTGTGGCATTCAACTTCCTCTCCTCTTCTTCCGTTATTAGTGTTGCTGCTCTGGCTAGCCCTCATCTCCTTCAGACAACACAAACACATCTGAATGGTCTGTACCTCTGGTTTCAGTCTATTCCAGTCCAACTTTCTTCACGGGGATTGTTCAAAAGTACAATTCTGATTATGCTATTGTGCTGCTTAAAACTTTCAACAATGCCTTATTTTCTATAAGATAAAATCTGGCAAATAAGTCCCTTCATGAACTGATTTCTACCACTACTTATACTTCTGCCATACTGAACGCCTTGTTGTATTCATACCATGTTTTCTAATGTTTTTACTGCCTTTAGTATACTATTTCCTCGGTCTAGATAGAATGCCATCCTCTATCCTCACTGGGTTTTGTCTTATCACCCATGACTAAAAGCAGGAACTCAGGAGCTGGCCTTCCTAGGTTTGAATTTCAATTTCACTATTTGCAAGTGAAATATTCACCATATATATATATTCACAATATTCACTACATATTTTTTGAGACAGAGTCTCGCTCTGTCACCCAGGCTGGAGTACAGTGGAGTGACCTTGGGTCATTGCAACCTCCGCATCCCGGTTTCAAGCAATTCTCTTGCCTCAGCCTCCTGAGTAGCTGGAACTTTAGGTGTGCACTACCACGCCCAGCTAACTTTTGTATTTTTAGTAGACACGGGGTTTCACCATGTTGGCCAGGATGGTCTCGATATCTTGACCTCGTGATCCACCCGCCTCAGCCTCCCAAAGTGCTGGGACTATAGGCGTGAGCCACTGCGCCTGGCCGAACATATTTTTTTTTTTACAAAGAAAACATCATCATTGGCTGGTAATCCTATGCTTGTAATCCCAGCACTTTGGGAGGCCAAGGTAGGTGGATCACCTGAGGTCAGGAGTTCAAGACCAGCCTGGCCAACATGGTGAAACCCTGTCTCTACTAAAAATACAAAAATTACTCGGTGTTGTGGCTCACACCTGTTGTCTCAGCTACTCAGGAAGCTGAGACAGGAGAATTGCTTTAACTTGGGAGATGGAGGTTGCTATGAGCTGAGATTGTGCCACTGCACTCCAGCCTGGGCAACAGAGCAAGACTCCATCTCCAAAAGAAAAAAAAAAAAATCATCATCCTAAATAGTTATCTCTTATAGGCAGAGTTCCCTGATGACAGTACATGGGGTCCTGGCGCTTCTCCTTGATCCTATGCCATCCTATATATTCCTTATTATATATTATTCAGTATCTTCTAAATTCTATCCTGAAATCAATCTGTCTGAATAGGAGTAAAGGAAATTTGAGACAGTAGTATTGTTATTCAAAGTGGTTAATAATATGTTGCCATGGAGAAACAGCTGTAGTCTAAAGAAGCCACAGTTATAATTAGGAAAGTAGTGGGTAGTGTCAAACCTGAGGATTTGAGAGATTGTAAACATAGGTGAGAAGCAATTGTAGCCAGGGAGAAAATGGCAAGACAGGATCAAACGCAGTAAGTCCTCCCTTAACACTGTTGATAGGTTCTTGGAAACAGCAACATTAAACCAACATACCGTGTAGCAAAACCAATTTGTTTCCAAGAACCTATCCAGGATGTTAAGCGAGGACTTACTGTATGCTACAGGACTGGGAATGTAACAGTGGCAAACTTTTAGAAGGGGTTCTAGGAACATGTCTGTGGGGACATGTCACACAGAGGCATATTGCTGTACCTGCCCAATAGTGATTTTTCCAACTACTGCATTCCTGAAGAAAAAGGCAGTATTTTTCATACTACTTCTTCTATAATTTTAAAATTAATTTTAAAATAAAATCCATGAATCCCTTAATTTTCTAAAAAGTCACAGATTAAAGATTCCTTCACAAACCACCTTCAATTTCAAACCTGTCCCTTTCCCCAGAGATAACAGGCCAAGGTGGCCAATTCCAAACTTTAATTTCATTCTGTGCATTGCCAGATCACAGTGTCATAGGCTTGCCTGCTCTCCTTTGTTAACTGATTGGAAAGAAGTGGAAATGAGAGGAAATGAGTATACTTGGGAAACCTGGAATATCCTGAATTCCCAAACATGACTGGGCCGCCTTGCTTTTTGAAGTGGTCCCTCCCCTGAAAGTGATGACGTTCTCTGGCTGGAAGGCACTCTTGCTTTCTTTCCTGAGGGAACACTCCTAATTCTCCCTTCGGCTCCTTCATCAGGGCACACAATGATTCAATTCTAAAGTCAAATGCAAGGAGAAGCCTTTGCACAACTTCGCTAACTTATATCACAAGAAGGCTGGAGAAGACACGTGGAGAGAGACTGAAGTTGCCTGACTAAGGAAGGAGAAAAAATTTTAGATGTGACCGAATTTACCGGCATAGGCATATTTACCACGAAGTATAGATTCAACAGGCTAGCTTGAGCAGACATGTGTGAGTCTAATAGTTTGCTCGCTTAGTTAAAACAAATTCTCAGCACATTCAATAGCAGCTCATGCTAACAAAAGTTGAGAAGCCAGAAACGTCTTAGAAGTCAGAGACTTATGGAGATAGAAATGCTGGGGTAAATGTAGCCTTAATTCCTTCATTAAGTATTTACTGAGTTCACACCATGTGTCAGACAGTCTTCTAGGAGGCTGGAGGTATGTCAGTATCCAACAAAGACAAAAATCTTACACTCGCGGAGTGGGTAGTAGACAAATAAATACACAGTGTAAATATTTATCAGAGGAGACAAATAAATACATGCTAAATACCATGAAAAATTAAGGAGAATAAAGGAGTGCTAGGAAAGGGGGTGCTGTTTTCTATAGAGTGGTCAGGAGAGGCCTGTGTGTGCTGGTAAAATTTGAACAGAGGCCTAAAGATATGAGAGTGTAAGCCAGGCAGATGCCTGGGATAAGTGTGTTTCAAGCAAAGGGAACATTAGGTGCAAAAGCCCAGAGTCTGGGATAGTGGACAGCATGTTTGAAGGTCAGCAAAGAGGTCTGTGTGAAACAGCAGAGGGCCTGGGGTGGTGAGAGTGTAGGAGGTAAGTTCAGAGACAGCTTGGGTGGCTGGGGATGAACAAGGGATAGAAGCGGCATGCTGGGTCCCTGAGGCCTTTAAGCCATGGTAAGGATTGTGCCTTTATTCTGAGTAGATAAGAGCCATAAGGGTTTTGAGCAGGGGAAAGACATGATCTTAGCCAGTTTTAAAGGGGTTGCTTTTGTTGCCAAGCAGAAAGTAGACTGTAGGGAAACAAGGATTGAAGCAAGGACGTCCGTCAGTTTGTAATGCTTGCAATATTCTCGGTAAGTGATGATAAAAGCACGATGAAAGGCTGCAGTGAGGCACATCTATTTTGAAGGTAGAGGTGACAAAATTTGTTGATCAAAGGTCAGCCAGTGGTAGATAATAACAATTAGAGGTATTATGGAAAACCACAAGACTTTAGCCTGAGCAGCTGTGAAGGATGGAGCTGTCATGAACAGAAATGGGGGAGTCTGCAGGGGAAGCCTGTCTGGGAAGTGTGTGAGCAGTAGAATAAAGCGGGGTGGGGAGCTGGAATCACAAGTTTTGAACATTGCAACTTCAAAGATATCCAAGTGGATTTAGCCATTAGAATATTAGTCTGAAGTTCAGGAAAGACATCTAGGGCTCAGAAATACATTTGAGAAATGCTGGAATACAGATGGTAATGAATCCATGGGATTAGCAAAGATAAGCTAGTAAATAAGTTTATGTGGAACAGACTTTTACAGAGAGATCCCTGGGATAAGCTGGCCTTGTAGAAGCTGGAGATGAGGAGGAGCCAGCACATGTGTGTCCCACTATCTGCCCTGTACCATGTCGTTTGAGAGGTGCCAGTGACATTTTATGGAGAGGGCAGAGATTCATTCCCATTGGAATAGATACTTATTTTAGATTATGTTAGATATAGATTTGCTTTTCCTTGCTTCTGCCAGCAATGGTATTTTTGTTGTATTACTGGATGTCTTAAAAAGTCATCATGACATTACACAATGGGATTCTACAAAATTTTTCTTTTGACTTAGGAAGACACTTGACAGTGAAATAAGGAGGTGAAGACTGAGGAAGCCTCAAATATTGCATCTTCTTCAAGATACCACCTTAGGAGAGTGGGGTGTTGTGATGCAATTACAGTGCACGTGTGTTTGTGTGTTTATCTACATATACCTGTGTTTATGTAGGTATAAACACATATAGCAAAAGAAAATGAACTAGGCCACAGACCAAAACACCTTTTTATTCATTAGCAATGTGCTGCCCAAGTTTGAGGAATCATTTATAGTCATTTAAATTCATTAGAGTACTGTTTGCTATGATTATAAACCTTTAGTTGGGCAGAGACTAGTTTTACTCCCCTTTTCCACTAATGATCTTTTTTAAAAATTGTGGGTACACAGTAGGTATATATATTTATGGGCTACATGAGATATTTTGATAGAGGCATGCAATGCATAATAATCACACCAGAGTAAATGGGGTGATAAAAGAAAAACTTCATCCGAGTTAAATTTAAAAGAGCTTAATTGAGCAACAAACAATTTGCAAATTGGGCAGTACCCAGAATCACAGCAGATTCACAGGGACTCCAGGGATGCCTCATGGTCAGAACAAGTTTATAGACAAAAAAGGCAAAATGATCTACAGGAATTAGCAGCGAGGTACAGAAACAGCAAGACTGGTTACAGCTCACTGTTTGTTTTATTTTGAATGCAGTTTGAACTCTCAGCACTCTGAGTGGTTGAGGTATGGCCCCTGGGATACGCCAGAACTCAGCTATTGTTATGGGCACATGCTATTAAGTTAGGTATACAA